CAAAACTGCCTTTCTTTACCCAAAGATGAGTACTCAAAACAATCCATTACATTAAGATGACTGCAAGAAAAAGAACTCTTCCTAAAAAAGACTTAAGGATTTCAGTGTGTGCTTATTTCTGCCATCTCTACACAGCTAGAACGTATTAAAATCCCCAGACATTTGTCAAGTACACTTCAGAAGAAACAGGATTTTCCATATTTCACTTCTACCAAACACTTCAGTGTTTCTTCCTGAAAGGTTGAAGCCATGTTTGGGGTTGAAGGTGTTATACCAGGGTTCATAAAAAATCCTTTAACTACTGCTCAAACGTAGAAAAAATACTTTCTGAAAATAAGGCTGCAACACACATAGAACTTCAAAAACTGAAAAATTTGACCTTGTTTAAGGAGGTCTTATGTTCTTTGAATAAAAACAAAACTTCGATTTCAAAGTATTTGGAAAGCAATATTTTCAACTAAACTTTTGAGCAATTTGTAATTTCAAATACAGTTTTCCAGACTTAATCACCATTAAGTCACTAAATACATCAACTATCATTGACTGAAGATGCTGATTTCACAATTAATAAATTTCAATAATTACATCTCTTGTATGCTTTAATATTACACAGAATCCCTAGACTGAGAGGCAGATTTTCATCCTGATCATAAACCACAGCTACAAAGAACATTGTCAACTCAAAGACACATTTCTGTGATATTTCATAGCACCATACTTCTATAATTTAGCTTACATCTCCAGCCAATCTAAATAAAATAAATTTTCTGGTCTTTTTCTTCTAGAGAAGAAGCATTAGATTAATGAAAAGGAAGGTTCTTCTCACTACTTGGAGTAAAATAGCCCTTTTGAGAAATACTTAAGTATAAATACTTAAGTAGGCTCTGTTAGTCTCTAAAATGTGAATGCAACGGTCCTGTATTTAAAGCACAGGTCAGACACCTAGAGAAATTACTACAAGTGAAGAACTCAGAACTATGAGTTTGCTTTTACTTCTAGGCACTAGTTTTCTGCTTGAATAGAAATAATACTTTCCTCTTTCTTGGGGTTCAACTGACAAAAACACTATAAAAATGCCTGTGGAACAGATTGAGAAATTACACTATTGAAGGCTAAGCAAGCACCTAGAATTGATACCTAGTGAGTTTTAAACATACCTCCATAATGGAAAAACATTGGCTGTCACATTAAAAATTAAAATTCAGTATTTGGCAAATACCAGCAGATTTTCTTTACAGAGCTTCCTAATCACACAACAAACACAAAAGTGTTAGAAGATACCCAACTCCTTTTCCCACAAAAATAAAATTGAAATTTGCACTACCTAATCTTCATACTCACTAATTACTTCTAAATCTCGACATCTAACTGGGGTGTATCACTTCCAATCTGTTCTTCTGACAGCTTCTGTTCTTCCTTCACTGCAGACCTTTGTTGGCATGGGCCCACTCATCCAATTTTGCCCTGCTCTCACAAATAGAAGGTTCCTCCAGAAAACAGCTCATTCTGAAACTACGGTGAGTTCAGTCTGCAGCATAAACAACTCTTTGCTGCCAAGCCTAAATCTAAGGAAGAAGGCCCCAGAGCTGCAGCACCCACCAATGCACAGGTGGCATACCTTGTGTATTACCTCACCAGGAGGCAGTAAAGCAGCAGCTGATCCTCTTTATCCTTCTTGAATACAGAAAATAAGTAGTGTTCAAAGCTACCAAAACTACCTTATGTACCTTCCTAACAGTACAAACCTTCAGCATATTCAAGAATCAAGGAACGAGGTTTAAAGGACCTATTTGGCAAAAGCAGGGTTCAGAAACCAGTTCCAGGTGCCCAAACTGGGATTGGATCAGGGTGTTTCCGATGAAGCATCTGGAGGAAGAACAGCAGCTGTGATTTCGTACCACCATGATCCTTCATCCAGCGCTGGCAGCACTCTGTACTGCAGGAAACTCTGGCCCAGAGTACAGCGAGCACCTCTGAAACCTCTTCCTCCTCCTCATCCTCTGTCTAGGCAGAGCTGCTGGGGGTGCACCTGTCCACCCAGAACTGGCAGGATTCCCTTCTCAAGGTAAAGCACCTGGACTGTCTCTTAGAAAGATCTAAACAAAACTCATTTTTTTAATTTGAGAAGAGGAATACTGTTTACATTTAAAACATTTTCTGAAAAAGACTTTTAAATACCTGTTCAAAAGGCATGGAGACATCCTCCACTCTGGATAAAGCTGTGCACCTTGACTGAAAGGGATGCAAGGCCTACAGACACTACACAAGGAAGCTCAACTTCACAGTTTTGCCATTAGGGGAGTTCTCTGCAAGCTGGCAGAGCTGGATTTCAGACTAAGCCTATTTATGTGCTAATATTAAATAGCCATTTAAAGAGAACAGAAACTACAGTGGGAAGAATGATCTCAATCTCTTCTAACCACTAAGCTTCAGAGTTCAGTGAAGGTCCACTTGTTTCCTCTCTTTCATTCATGAACATGTCATTCATTCCTCTAGGATCACTCAGATTCATCAGGTGGGGCAAAGGACTCGCTGAGCTTGGCTGGCCTGGTAAGGGCTGGTTAGACCAGGGAAGCAGAAGACTCAAGTGCGCATCTCTTAACCCAAAGAGGGAATTTCAACTGGCTTTTCTACTTTAGAGAGTGTAATTAAAATTACTCTCTAATTATGTTATAACACAGGGATTCTTTAATCCGAAAATAAAATAGCAAGGACAATATGTAAAATGCACAGATACCTTCCACTTAGAGACCTGGCCAATTGGTTTTCAGTACAACTAAAGCTCAGAGACCTTTCAGAACACGGTTTTGTATCAATATAAGCACATAGTTGTCATCCAAAACCCCCAAGAAAATCGTACAATTATTTGTTCCTCAGCATGGATTAAATGCCTTTCTGTGACTAAATTATAATTTAGAAGTCCTTGTACAGATGCATATTGTATCTGTAAATATGCATTTTTCAGGTTCAACTGGTAAGAAGGATGCAAGCTTTAGTCTACAGCACATTAGGTCTTACACTGCCTGCGAACCTGAGTTCCAAAACATAACACCCCCACCACAACCCACATATGCAAATCAGGCAAGTTACCAAGTAAAAATCTGGTACCCTTGCTGAAGCTACATTCTTTTAATGCATCATATTCCTTTCAACTACAACTCAATTAAAATTATCTGGGCTTGCTAAAATTTTCAGGATTTCAGCTGCATTTAGATTACTTTGCATAAATGAAATTTAGGATTACAATGTTGCTCATATGTCTCACAAAATATCTAACCAAACGCTGGAGTCTTGCAGTAAAAGAGCTGGCAGATGAAAAATGAGAGCAGCATTCAGACCCACTCTCAGCAGTGCTGAGTCAATGTAACTATGGAAGTACAAGTTGCTTTCTATTCTGCTTCACCTATCTACAGCTGGTCAGCTGGGGTCTGAATGCAGATGCTCCAGCACAAGGTACAAAGCAAGCTGCAAAAGCCACAAATATAAATTCAGAAGCTAAATGAATTTACAGTGATGATTAAATACAAGAAAACCAAAAGCATTTATTAATGAATAAAGTCTACCTGAACTACTTAAAGAAAAAACCTTCCTCTGTAAGGTATGTGCGAATGATAAGAACGGAAGGATACTGAAAATGCACTTTCCATAATAAATGCAAAGTAACTCCATTACATAGGTCTTTAGAAATCTCCACTGAAAGAGTCAGGACACACATTAAGAAACACCCACTATGAAGAAGTTGCAAGTCTTTAAAAATAGCAGTGCTCTGCCTCCTCCCTCCCCTTTCCCCTACTCACCCTCCTCCCCAATTTCAAAATACATCTTCCCCAGGCCTTGGTCTGGAATGGCAGTTTCTGTGAACAGACCATACCCGACCATATGATTAGCCATTATTATTATCACCTTTTATACTCTACTCTACACTAAGATGCAAATCCAACAGATGTGGTCCAACTAAGTTATTTACAAGGGTTTCCCTTTCAGATGTCCAAGCCAAAGCTCCAACCAGTTCTGCGATATAATTACAGCCTCTCTCCACGGGCACTAACAGACCTCTGTCTGCGGCGATGTGGCCAGCGGCATTTTCTCATCTCCGCTCCGGTTCAAACGGTTGCTATGATTTCAAATGGTGCATCTACCCTTATTTTAGCGCGACTGGCTGCATTTCAGCTGCCGACATCTGACTGATTGATGCACATCTAAACAACGCAGCGATTATAAAAACAAACAGGCAGTAGGCACCGGTGTTTCTCCACCGTGGGCTCGCTCCTAACAGAGCGGCTGGCAACGAGACCGTGGGAAATTTAAGAGCAACACCAGCACACATGAGGCCTAACACTCACACTGCCACTGCCACCGGGAAGGAGGCTGGCGCCCTGCACTTTTAAGAGTGGGAAGTTCATGGAAATGCCTATGCAGGTATCTGAGCAGGCAGACCTCTCGCCCGCCGCACGAAAGCATCCAGGTACTTCCCCTGCACATCAGCCACAGCACGTCCACCAAGAAAGTGCACTCGAGGGCTGGCTGACCCGACACACCGCTGGGGAACTGCTTTTCCCCCCCCACGCTTCCAGCCTCTGGCCAGATTCTCCACCGTATTCCATACGGGAGCACCCCAAACTCCCCGCACACGCAGCTGGGAGGAGAGCGAGCGGCGGAAACCACGGGAGCCCCCGGCCCCTGCCCCCGCTCCGCCGCCCCCGGCCGGCGCCCGCCCACGGGGAGCCCGGGGCTGCGGGCGCGGCTGCGGAGGGGGCGGCGGGCCGGAGGCAATGCCCCGCAGCCCGGGGGAGGGCGGAGGGAGGCGGGCGAGGGAAGGGAGCCGCGGGGCAGGCACCTGAGCGGGCGTGGGCAGCCCCCGGGCCGGAGATCCGGGCACCGGGGCGGGGGAGGAGGGCACGGAGGGGGGGGCGGGAGGCCCGCAGGCCCCGGCGGGGCGGGCCGGGCCGCAGGTGGGCGTCGGGCGCGGCCGCCGGAGGAGCGGCCGCCGGGCAAGTCACCTCTTGACGCGGATGATCTGGTCGCGCATGGGTCGGATGTCCTGGAAGCTCTGCTGGTTCACCAGGCTGTAGACGAGGATGAAGCCCTGCCCGTTCTTGATGTAGAGGTCCCGCATGGAGGCGAACTGCTCAGTGCCCGCCGTGTCCAGGATCTCCAGGACGGAGGGGGAGGCGTCCACCTCGATCTCCTTGCGGTAGAAGTCCTCGATGGTGGGGTCGTACTTCTCGATGAAGGTGCCGGTCACGAACTGCACCGTGAGCGCCGACTTCCCCACCCCGCCCGAGCCCAGCACCACCACCTTGTACTCGCGCATCCTCCCGCCAGCGCGGACCGCCCGCCCGACCCGCACCTGCCGACGGCCCCTCCTCACCCCCCCGCCATCGGCCGCCCCGCCCTGTGCCCGCCGCCGCAGCCGCCTCCGCTCCGCTCCCCGCCCGGCGGATGCTCCGGGCCGCCGCGGCGGCTCCTGGGCGGCGCTGCCGGCGGCGGGGCCGCGCTCACGGGCTGCGGCGCGGCCGGGGTGGGGCGGCGGCCCCGCCTCCTCCTTCCCGTGTCGCCACGGCAACAGCCAACGGGGCGGGACGGGGGAAGAAAGAGCGGGGAGGAGGAGGAGGAGGAAGAAGAGGAGGAGGAGGGCGGGCACCGCCCCGTCACGTGGCGCGCCCCCCTTCCTGCCTCCGGGCGCGGCGGCCGCACGTGATGCCGGCGGGCGGTGGCGCCGCTGTCGCCCGCGTCCCTTCCCCTTCCCTTGTCCCCTCCGGTGCCGTCGCCCCGGGCACACGGCGTCCCCCGGCCGCGCTCCGGGCCGGCTCCGAGCGGGGAGGGCCGGCGGGCGGGGGCGGGCCGGGCCAATGGGAGCGCGGGCCGGGCGGCCGCGGTTCCACTTCCCGGGCGGCGGGAGGCGGCCCCGGCGCGGTAAGTTCGGGCCGCTCCGGACCTGGCGGCTTCCTGGCCCTGTGGATCCCGCTGCTGGGTGTAAAAGTCAGTGGGATTCATCGAACCCGAGGCGGTGATCCGGCGCGCGTTGGATCCCTGCGGTCTGGGCTGTGCCTGCAGGGGGGCGGCCGGAGGTGTTTGTTGGCACTGTGTGCCTGCCAGCCTTCTCGCCCCCTTCTGATAGAGAGAAAGGGCCAGAAAAAGTGGTGGTACAGTTTGGGAAAAGTGCTGCATCAAAACAGATAGGAAATGAAGATGATTGATGGGAAAGAATTCACAGTTCCTCCCAGGAACTGATATCACTCCGGAAAGATGCTCACACTTGTATGCTTGCCTGTCTGCTATAAGACAGTCTCCTTAACGCTTCTTTTTTTCTTTTTTACCTTCGTTTTTTTCCTCAATCATAACTGGCTAGAATTATTTGATACAGGGAGTAAAAACTTTGTTTCCATTAGAGGGTTGAAGGTCAGCCAGAGCCCTTATTCTGCTGTTCGGATGCTTTCTGAGAAAGCTTTCTGGCTGTCAGAAATGAGCCCAAACCTGGTGCTGTGTTTTTCTTGTTGTGCTGTTCTTCCCACTGCATCTGAAGCAAGGCCTGAGGTGTCAGCCTACTTTCCAAGCAAGTCTGGTTCTTTTCTCTTTTTCTTTTTTGTCTTTTTTTTTCTTTTTCTCCTTTTTCTCTTCCTTTTTGGCTTGTTTTCATGTTTCCTAACCTAACAGTAGCAGACGTATTAAGGGCTTTTTGGAGCACATTTGTCCCTGTCCAAGTCTTCCAGTTAAATGCTTGCCAAGTACAGTATTTTAGGCTTTGCAGTGTTTTGCTTGGGTATTCTGTTTGGCTTTTCTTCTGTGTGTTTTTGATTCTTTTTTTTTAATTGCAAAGCTTCAAAACAATTTTTTCTTAGTAGGATGGCGATAGCTTTGGTGCATCTAGGAGAAAGAAGATTATCTGCCAGCTTCTTGCAATTCCCATGTCCAAAGCTGCTGAAGTAAACTGGAAACCACACATATTTGAGTGATTTAAATATATCAATACCAAAGAGGTAGACAATTTTTTTACAGGACTGTCAGAATTCATTTGTAAATATTGCAGAGCCTGGTCTGAACTGAGTAATAGTTTCAACGAATGACCTAATTTCTATTGGGGACTTGAGGCCTTCAAGTATTAGAAAAGAGCCTACAAGAATGTGTAGTATCACAAAATACAAGATACTGTACAGATTAATAACTGTTGTACAGATTAAATAACTGTAACTAATTAATTAACAGTAAGAGATTAATTAACTGTAACTAATGTACAGATTAATAACTATTTGTAGTGTGAATCCAGGAACCCTCCAGCAGAGTAATGGGAAAATACCTGGATTTATTAGTCAACAATGAAAGCAGGCTGCCAGTTTAACGTGGTTGTGAAAAAGCTGAGTGTGACAGTGGTGTGCGCACAGCCAGGCTTGTGGGTGACTGGTGAGACATTGCTGTGTCCAGTTCTGATAAATCATGTCCAGGAAAGAGCAGTTTGTGCACAAGTACTTCTGGGAGGGTTACTGGAGATGAGAACAAAGCTTATCTACAAGAGGCTCTGGGAATATTTGTTTGATTAACCTAGGAAAAGCAAATGCAGGGAAGGGTTATGAGTAACCAGTAAGGCAGGGTGGAGTCAGGCTCAAGTGAGTAGGCATTTAACCTAATGAGCAACGCTGATGGGAGAGCACAGATCTAAACTGATAATAACTAGATAGAAAACTAAGCCCTGTCTCAGTGCACTGAGGGTTTCTTCTTCCATGAAGAACCGTGAAAATGGACTTATCTAACAGGCTTTAAAATGTGTTGTGCATCAGAATAGGAAGATTATATGTAATTACACAAAACAGATTTAAGTGATCAATGTTGGAGGGAGGAGTTTTGAGCCTCCCCGACTCATCTTGAGACCAGAGCAACCTCCTGATGTTCAGCAGAAAAAAGGCTGTCAACTGCTGGTTCATGATGGGGAGGGTGGGAAGGGCCATAGTTCAGAAAGAGGTACCAGGAATGCTCCCACTAAGGAGATTTTCACCAAGTGTTCAGTCTCTTAGATTGGATGGGCAGCAAAATGTTATTTTACTTAATAGTGTATGCAGGGACCTAAGAAATGTAGAAACTGGAAATACAGAAGGATAGTGTATATAGAGTATGGAGGATGTAAAAGAAAATGTAGGATGGTCAACAGGAGGAGGTGCTGGATGCTGTGAGTGTTCCTGAGGATCTTGCCATATCTGTTTTGAGGCTGAACATCTTGTCATTGCCCAGTGCTGTTTTTCTGAACTTCATTTTTGATTGTAACTCATCTGACAAGAACAACAGCACTGAAAATTCACCTAATAAATGCTGGAGGCTTAGCCCTAAAAACAAATACAGTGTCAGTTATGTGGAGTTATTTATAGTGAGGTGGAGAACATGGGGTCATTTAGGTCCTGCCAGTCTGTTTTTATTGCATGTTGCTTATACTTCTGTTCTTCCTTACTGAAGAACGGGAGAAAAAAAACGAGCTAATAAATTGCAGGGAAAGAGAAACTTCCTGCCATAAAAGATTGAATTGGGCAAGGCTTGCCAGGCAAATATCTCAGCCCACAGCATGCTTTCCCAGCGTGACTTCCTTCGTAGCTTCTCACAGGAGACTCCAGAGTCATCTAGTCCCCCCGTGCTGTACAGCTGGGCTTTTGCCGGCTTCCTAGGATTTAGAAACTTCAGTTTTATTGCTCACTTCTCAAGTCCTTTTATGTCTTGTATCGAGCTGTCTTATTTCAAGCTTCAGTGGCCTGCGGCTTACCGCACTCTTTTATGGTAGCCTGGAGTTTCTCAGTAAATATTGAATTTTTATCTTGCGCAGCAACCAGCACACTGGTTTGTAATTTTTTTGCTAGCTATTGTAGCCTGTGACTGTGCATTAGGGTATGTATTTAAAAGAGGAAAATTTCGATTCTAGAGCCAGGGTTTTCCAATTCTTCACTATTAACAATATCAGTCACAAAATGTAGCAGCATGAAAGATGGGAGAATCCGTAGTTCCCTTCCTCTGAGAACTGATGATGGTCTTCTGACTCTGAAGTGCAAGAAAATGTGTGAGATAAAGCTGTCTGTGCTACAAACTGTTCTGGTGTCCATCCGTTTTCCATGGTCAAGTGTTCTTTTAAGTGCTTATTAGTAGAAGATCATGATTTCCTGTCCTTGCTTACCATCATGTCTTTACATTCAGGCTGTCAATTTCTCCTCACTGTTTGTCATTGCAGTATTTAGGAAGTGTTAAGAATTAAGATTTTGTTTAGTCCTTAATATTTCTTGCTAGATAAATAGTCTTGTTAATACTGCCCATAAAGTTGTTGTCAAATTGAGGATGCAGCTAGCTGCAGTGCAAGGTGACTGACTTGGCTAACCCTGTCCTAAGGTGCTAGCATTTTAGCACCTTACCAGATGGTCAGGCTGGTAATTTCCCTTTCACACCGGCAGTAAAGTTGTCCCATTCCTTAACCAAGTGCAAAATTATAAATGTTTGATACCTTTGTTTGCTTTCCAGGTGAGAGCTGGAACTATCTGGGTGTACCTGTAAAGGTGAAGGAGGCTGGACCTCCTCTGTCATGTCTGGCAGCAGTTGGGTGGCAGCTCAGGTCACCCAAGAGCCCATCAGTGACAGCCAGCACCATCTCCAGCCTGCTGGAGGGACTAGGATTTGGGATTCAACTTACCACACTGGAAGAACATGTTACAGAAGCAAGGTTTCATTAACCTGTCTGCTTGGGGCTTTTTGTTTTGTTCTTAAGCAAATCTAAGCCCTTGTTTTGGAAGGTACGGTGAGTGTGCATTCGTTTTGTAGTGGTGAAGCCTTGTGTGAGCTCTGAGTGAATGACTTTTGTCTCTGTGTCTAGCCTCACTGAAGCCAGGGGTGCCAAGATGAGATAGCAGCTCTCCACAGAGCTCACTGTAAGGAAAAGTCAAAATCTGCAGTGATGAATTGCAGTCATCATTACTTGTCTGCATTGGCTGGAGCTAGCAGTTCCCTGTATGCAGGGATTCACTCCCCTGTGCCATCCTTGGCTCAGCACCCTAAGCTGGTAAATTAGGCTGATCTTCCAGGGTAGCAAGTGTGATGGTCATCAGTGTTGCTATGCTTTAGTTCTGGTACCTGATTTTGGGAAGAGAATTCACAAAGCTGAGGTAAGCTCTAGGAAATTCTTAGCAAAACTGGGACTTTAGCAGTTGGATTCCCAGCAGCCAAGTATGCTGAGTGAGGAGATTTTAAACCAGATGATTGGAATGTTCTTTGGGCAACTCTTTTCTGCTCAGTTTTAATTGCTTATAGCCTTCACTTAAGCACATTTAGAGTCAGAGAGCCAAAATCTGAAGTGGTCTCTTGTACTTGCTG